GAAGGAATGGGCGCAAACGATGGGTGAACAGATGGCCATGTTGGGGTAGTGCTAGATCGTAAGCAGGGTGTCGCAGGCCCTCGACCAAATCTTCAAATTTGCTGTTTAGATGGTTGGGTAGTTGGTGGGCGGGCCTGGTTGTGGCGTCTTCTGGGACCTCGTTGCCTTGGTCTAGTGTCTTCATAGGGCCTCTGTGATCTATTATATTGCCCATATCGGTATCGGTTGTATGAGTTATATGGGGTGTATCGTCCGCGTCTATAGGGCTGCGTGCACATGCCCAACGTGCGGAGTGTAGACTTGGAATTTTTGCTGTTATGGAGTATTTCATCCGTAGTGGCTGCAAATAGTTTGTGCTTGTCGAATGGCAGATCCTCTACTTTAGGCTGGAGATCGCGGGGAACTCCTGATGACTGGAGCCAAGAGGTTCTACGCATGACTACCGCTGTAGCTGTAATTCGGGCTGCGGTGTCAGCAACATCCATTGCGGTTTGAAGAGCAGTGCGGGCGATCATATGGCCCTCATGAACTATTGTTTTCAGGATGGATCTTTTAGACTCGGGGAGATGTGGTATCAGCTCTCCCAGTTTTGAGTAATTGTCAAAGTCATGATTTGCTAAAAGAGCAGAGTAGTTCGATATTCTGAGTTGTAAGGTGGAAGAGGAGTATACCTTCTTGCCAAAGGAGTCCAGCTTTTTGTGGTCCTTGTCTGCGTTGCCCAACTTGTATTGTGGGATCTTTGCACGTTGTTGCGCTGAATCCACTACTAACGAGTTGGGTTGTGGGTGTGTGAAAAGAAAGTCGTTGTCTTTTGATGGGACAAAGTACTTCCTATCGATTCTTTTATTCGTTGGTTGCAATGGCTATTGTTCTATTTCTTAACTATTAGCAAAATATAGGTCTTAAAATGGTTACAAAGAAGATAAAGATAGAAAAATAGAAATAATGGTACCAAGTAACAGCTTACTCTTTCTATGTGTACACTTAAGACAGAGGACCACATCCAGGTACCATTTTTACCCCCTTCTGTGCCTCTCGACTCCAGCATGTCAGGCCAGGGCCGGTCCCTCAATTCCTAGGAAAGACGAAAATACGAGGTGGGCGTCCCCATAGAACCTTGGGAGGTCAAACACCTAACCCGACCAGCAGGTAGAGGGTAGAATGACACTCAAAGTGAGTGTGTGCTGGGCCCATCTTTTATACTTATGGGGTCACGTATTTCTCTTTCTTATCTATCATGCCAAATGGGGCTGGTCTGTCTTTTGTGAGACCAGTTCTTACAAGGGAGTTGTGAACTTAATTTACACTTGTAAGAGAGATAACTAAATTGGAATTACTGGGGATTCTTTTCTCAGTGGGAAATTCCTCTCCCAGGGACTGTGTGTGTGTTCGAATCAACATGGGTGCCAGCCGGGGCAGACTCGCATATCCTGATCTTGCATCAAAGCAGATCAAAGCTTAATGGCTATGCTGATTGCCTTAATCGCTCTCTCTCCACATATCTGTTTTTTTCAGCTTCTCAGGATCAGATGAGCCAGCATAGACTATGCTGATTTTATTGCTCCTTCTCTGCCCTGTATGCTTCAGAGAGGCAAATAAGATGGATGATATGGGGGGTTAGTCTGTCTGGCTACAGCGTGCCGATATCTGAGATGATGGGATGTCCGGGGTGTCCAGGTTTATGGATTTTGGGAAGCAGATAGAAAAATCCTGGTCGGGGTTCAGAAGGTGTTTCTGTGTGGATTTGGTCCCGAGTAGCTGTAGGGAGTTCTTTAAGGAGACAGTGTAGTTTCTTTTGGTATTCTGAAGTAGGATCAGAGGAGAGGGGTTTGTAAAATGTGGTGTTGGAGAGTTGTCTGGTTGCCTCCTGATTATAGTCGGACACTCCAGTCATCTGACAAAGTGGGTTTTGCCCATGAAAGCTCATGATACCATCTACATGTTTTGTTCGTCTTTAAGGTGCTACCAGATTATTTGTTTTTTAAGTTTATCCTGTACAGACTAACTCGGCTACCCCCCGAAGCTTAACCCTTTCGTTTTGACCCAGCACATTATGTTCCCTCCTGCTACAAACTCACTTATCTCAACTGGGTGCAGGGAGCTGCCTGCACAAACCATCCAACCCTCAGATCTGATGTTCCAGCCAGTCACAGACTGAGGAGCTGGAGATGAAATGCAGCAACTTACGCTGGTGGCTTGTGCGCTTTTGCTGGCTCAGTGTAAGGATTTGTCTGTACTAGAAAGTTTGTCCTGCTTTCACAGATCAGAGGCACAACCCCCATCAGCATGGATGTGATTATACCAGTAAAACAGGGGTGGGGAAACATACCTTGATCTAGCCCGTGAGGTTCCTGCACCCTTCCCTCTCACCCAGATCCCACACCCCAAGCCTGTGTCCTGCCAACCCCCTCCCATTCACTGAAACCCTCATTTCTTACCCCCTCCCAGAGCCTGGGGGAGGGGGATGCACAAAATCTACAAGCTCAGGCCCTCGTGTGCAAGTGGAATGTGGGGTGTGTCTTTCTGCTTCTCAGACCGGGGCCACGTCAGTGACTTTTTTGGTTTCTCACTTTTGCGTGGCCCCTGGCTGATTTTCCTGTGGGTCAGCGGCCCCTGACCCAAAAAGAGTTCCCCATCCCTGCAGTACAAGCATCCCCCCCCCCCCAACACAACAACAGAGTAAAACTCGAACACTTTTACA